TGTACTTTGTACTCGGGTTCCAAACGGCGTCATGACCCCGAACTTAATCCGACCGAGGCTTATACTAGTCTATAATGGTTTTGAGGATACGTATTTGGCGTTAATTATTTTAAAAAAGATTCGCAATTTTAAATATTGATGAAATCATTCTCAAGATTACGTCATATTTATGATATTTATGATATTTATATGATATTTATGATACTCTGAATGTTACTTTGTATGATACTTTGAATGATAATGTGTTTGATATTTTACGTTAATTTATCTTTTAATCATTCTATACTGTGTACGTACGTACCCTGGTCATTTAGGTCGTTTATCACTGTTATACTACTGCTATACTACTGCTATACTACTGTTATACTACTGCTATCCTACTGCTATACTACTGTTATACTACTGTTATACTACTGTTATGCTACTGTTATGCTACTGCTATACTACTGCTATACTACTGTTATCACTCATTTAACTTTATCCATTTTATTATATTTTATTTTTTTTTATATAGCGATAACGAACTTGATATTAATTTTTTTTTATACAGACTATTTTCATTTATTTCAATTATTTCAATTATACAAACTATTATACAAACTATTTAATTTATATATTTTATTACAAGTTTAAATCAATCACTACGTAAACTAGATATGGTCGAGATATGGTCAAGATATGGTCGAGATATGGTTAGGAATGGTAATTGTTGATAAATTGTGACTCTCCACATGGACAATTTAATAAACCATATTAGAAATATTTAGAAATATTACGTAGAAATATTAAAAGTAAAAAAAGAATCCGGGTATGAACGGAATGTTAAAAATTTTTGGGAGTGCCAAAATATTGTAGTTGATTTTCCTTTGTCTCCACATGTTCAACATGTTCACTCCCTTTAAACGCCTAAAATGATGATAATTTAATTGTTATAAATAATCGTAAAAACAACAAAATTGCTTTATACGTAATCATAAATATCACCTGCGAATCTTATTCGTCATAGGTTTTCAAACTTTGGGCGCACACGCGGATAATATACATGCAGAACATGTATTATTATTATTAGAGAAGGGAATTATCAATTTTTTTAGTTTTTTTTTAGTTTTTGAAAATTTTTTTGTCACTCTTCTCATGACCAATTTTTTATGCGGTATGACCAGATGATCAAGGATTTTTGTCGATTGACAATTCCTTTTGACACTTGAACAGAATATCAAAATGTCTCATATGACCATCCCCTTAATTATTGTGATATCACAGATACGTTTTATCTACTATATCAACAGTATAAGATAAAGGAATGATATGATTGATAAGAACAAAATTTGATACATAAGTAGGGTACATAGGGCAAATACTGCATGTACGTACGTACGTACGTACGTACGTCCGTATGCAACTTACGTATTCATGCTCCAAACAAATCTTTATCCGATGTTGTGATTCATAAAAAGTTTTACGTAAAAAAATACAAGTAAATGCTATTATTGTAATAATGTAATATTGTAAAAATAAAATAAAATAGTATTGTATATAACGGGGGGTTTCGTTATTGTATATTGTATATTTTTTGTGATACCAAGTTAATACAAATTTGAAAAGAACGGAGGTCAGGATAATACCTACCGTTTAACATTTTAACATACGTATCAACACATCAACATAGTTTTTTTGTTTGATGTCACTAACGCAAAATTCTGTATGCATGTATGTATTATAGATGTAATAGAAAAAAATTAAATACAGTAGAATTAATACAGTAAGTAGTAGAACTAATGAATACCGATACGTAGAATTAATGTATAGAATCAATGTAGTATTAATTGATGTAGTATTAATTGATGTAATATTATTACTTCGAATGAATGATAACGAATAACGAATGAATGATAACGAATGATACGTAACGAATGAATGATACGTAACGAATGAATGAATACGAATAATGATATACGTAAATGATATACGTAAATGAATAATAATGAACGAATGAATAGCGAGGTTATTGATAATAACTAAAATAATAAACGATAATAAACGATAATAAACGATAATAAACGATAATAAACGATAATAAACGATAATACTAACGAAAGATTACACGATAACTAACGATAATGATAAATAATAACTAATTATAGCTAATGATAACGATAGTTAACAAACTATGCTAACTAATGTTAGTAGTAATGTACAATACTCTCACAGTACAATAAACTGAATCAATGCGATTAAGAACAAGATTTTTAAATAAAAACGAAAATAATTTTTTATGTAATAATGTAATCAGATTACATTGTTTTTGGCTACGTAGACAACGAAAATCTTCATTAACTTAATAGATACCCCATAAATAGTATGTATGTATGTATGTACGTACGTACTGTATTTACTTTCTATCAAAATATCTTTTTCTATCAATATCTAAATATCTCAATATCTTAATATATCAATATATAAATATATAAATGTATAAATATATCAATATATAAATATATCAATACAATATTCAATGCAATATCTCATTTCAATATGAACAAAGAATCATTTTTACAAAAATGAATTATTTTATAATTTTATAATTTTATAATTTTATAAATTTTATAATTTAATAAATTTGCTGATATTTGGCATGTCATATGATCCTGTGACTCTTAGGACTATCTTGAGAGACAATAAATACGCAATAAAAACTTTATGATTTGACTTGCGGTCCCGGGTATCTGTACAAAAAAGGTACTGTAAATGCACTAAATTAAAATGTAAGTTATTTATGTTACACCACATGACTCATTGTGATGGAGATAATCTACATTATCACGTGGAATTGCGGAATTACGGAATTGCAAACTGCAAACGCCGAAAACAAAGGTTTAATTCTTAATCACTTGAATCATTAATAACTATCCCCTGTGTGCTGTACCCGTAATGATTTTAAAGGATTTCTACCTGGGTATATCCTGGGTATATCCTGGGTATATCCTGGGTATATCCTGGGTATATAAATATGCTTATGTACCCGGGCATATATAGTATCAGTGGATCCCGCCTACTTGAGTACTCGGGGTATTTGAGTACCCCTGGTATTTAAGTACCCCAGGTATTTGAGTATTAAAACGAACCAGAGAATATACCTCGGCTACACATGTCGGAGGAATACGGCAGTATGTAGGTTACATTAATTTACTCTTTGATGTTCATTGACATTTTTGAAATGTTTCAAACTGTTTCAATATGTACTAATACCTGTTAGTTAAACAGGTTAATAAACAAACATTTTTCTGGTATTTATGAAAATCTAACTTTAGTAAACATGATTCCAAAAAGAAATTTTCTTTTTTTTTTTTTTATTCATTATTCCGTTTTAAGAATACAAGAGATTCAAATAAATTTCTTAATAATCCTCTTAAATAATCAGGTTAACTAATACGTGTGTGCATGCGTATGTGATATTTTATAATCCCTGTGGTATTATTATCATCATTATTATTATCGTTATTATTATCGTTGTTATTTATTATTAAATAGATGAAATGAAAAAGATACTGGGACAACAGTCATGAATCTCTTTCGGCCGTCGAGAATAGTTCGACCTTTGAAAACTCCGATTACTACTATGATTACTATGATTACTATTCAACTCCGATTTACTAAATTACTATGATTACTATTCAATTCCGGATTATTAAATTACTATGATTCCTATGATTACAATGATTACTACTCAACTCCGGAATACTAGATTACTATTTAACTCCGGAGTACTAGATTACTATTCAACTCCGGAATACGGATTATTGGTTGATACCAAACTCCGGATTACTATTATGAACGGCCTAAGAATACACAACTAAGAATACACAAAACGGTCGATCTATCCTTTATAATTTTACTTAACATTAACATGTTAACGTTAATGGTAAAAATTAATATTTATTACTTATAAATATTGATTACAATATTTATTACGTACAATATTTCAAATATTTAAATATATATATCATGTAATGATGTTTCTCGGATGATTTTTAAGACTATTTGGTATTTTGGCGTATGGTTTGATATAAATTTACGGAGCGGATTTATTATCCAATAAAGGTGATTTGAGAAACTTGTTATGGGCGTAATTATATTCTTACGAATATCTAAAATATCTAATTTACAGATATTTACAGATATTTACAGATTTTATGATTAGATCAAGCAAATAAAAAAAATTGATTTCTTTAATCAATTTTCTTAAAATTCACATGAGTTTTTTATCACTTTAAATCCTGCAGTATGTAATATTAAATCTAAATTTTTTATTATATTCAAAAACATGTTTAAATACAAGTTTTTTTCATTTTAGTTATAAACAAAGGATAATGATATTTTCAGATATGTGCATGAAATAAACATTCTCCCCTGATTCTTTATTATTAAAACCATTCGTGCATCAAAACCGTTGTTCGCTAAATTTTTATTTACTCCTGTTTTTACATGGTTTACATGGTAGGGTTACTTGTTTACATAATGTGCTAAACGCCTGGCGTAGATGATGATCTGACACATCTATTTTTTTTTTTTTTTAATCAATATAAATTTGTCAATCTAAATCATACGTTATTTTTTTTACTTAAAATAATTTGACAAAATAAATTGAAAATTCATTTTTTTTTAAATCTAAATGGTATATTATATACTGATTAAAGATAATTCATAATAATTCATATTTCACAACAGACTTTTTGAGACCAAAAGAATGATATTGTTTATGTAACAAAAACAATGACGTGGGAAATTTTTTTTGAAAGCATTGATGCATTACGAATTTTACAGGGTTTATCGTTATGTTTGGATGATATTGTGGCAAAACCTTATTCAAAAACACTATTCAAGATTTATTCTGGATTTATTCAAGAATTATTCAAAAATTTATAAGTTTTCTTTTTACCATACGTAATCATGTGCATCATGTTAGTTAATCATTTAACTACAATCATGTTAGACTACAATCACGTTAGGTTAACTGCCATAATCATGTTAGTACCATAATCAATAAACTCTCGATATTTTAAAGCCTTGAAACTAGTTCTCTTTTGTATATCTTCACTTAAAGAGGCGTTTTTTTTTCCTCCACAAAATACACCTCCACAATAATTTATAATACTCAATTATACCCAATGATACCATAGTACCATGGATATGACTTTTACTTACATGTGAACTGGCTTATTATCTTTTTAAGCCAGAACGATAACAAAGAATTCATTACGTACGTACTTGTGTACGTATAACAGTATTTTCGTATCTACAACAATGCTTTTTCAAAATTCATATGATATATCGATGAAATTCATTGATAGTCGAAACATTGTTAAAAAGCATTGTTTACTATATATCAAGAATATCTATAATAAAATAAATTGAAATAAATAATTATATAAATTATATTATTTACAATATACGTATAAATTCAAATCATTGCGATAGTAAATCATAGTATATACAGTAATATATATAATTTATAATATATATAATTTATATAATGATAAAATGATATGTAAAATGAAGTATAATATATATAATGATAAAATGATAAAATGATAAAATGATAAAATGAAATGATATATAACGATAAAATGAAGTAATATATATAATGATAAAATGATAAATTTTTGAATATCTTTTTGAATGTCATCGTTTAGAATCGTATGATGATCTAATATTAATTTTGACCTGATTTTCTAACCTGATCATCGGAGGCTTTGACCATAAAGTTTATACAGTTGACTAAATCTTCATTTTTCCTATAAAAGAATTATTGTTTTTGGTCATAGCAACCTTTTAATACTAACACTAATGCAGTAACAAAAAAAAAATCATTGATACCAATATGTAGATATCAATTTATATGTTATCAATATGTAGATACGTATCAATTTAAATGTTATCAATATGTAAATACAAGGATTCTCTCTTTTAAAATTCTCTTAAACAAACAATATTTGAGCATCCTAATTCTCTTTTCGATCTCATGCATATATCTCATGATGCGGCTTAGATACGTCTAAGGAATTTCCTATTATCATAGAAATGTTCATGTGGTCTAAACAAACCTTTTCGATTCTTAATATATGTTTCATATGATTATGTTTATTATATTCTAAACAAATGTCACAATTTTTGTCGTCTAAATTCTAAATAAGGTTTTAAAAAGTAAAGAATAATGTTACGCGTTCTATCTTTTTTGGTTTCGATGAATGCGATTATTGATTTTAACTTTCAATTCTGGAAATTCTGGCAATTCTGGCAATTCTGGCAATTCTGGCAGTCCTGGTCAATTTGTGTTTACTGATTTTGTAAGCATCACTATCGTTATTGCATGATGTTTACCTACTACGTATTTTGGAATTTCATTGTATTATCATCTTTCTATCAACATAGCATACATATTAATCTTGGAAATATCTTAATCTTGAAATTGATTACGTACGTACGTAGGTCATTAGCCCATTGCCTCGACTGTTTGGTATTATTAATTGCCACGTTTTTCATATTGTTTATTCAATTTGATGTTTAAAGACATCATCTGCGTTAGCATAGAGATGATGAAAGATTATGAAAGATTATGAATAGTGCTGTAGTGTACTCATTATGCAGTTTCTATGAAAAATTTATTTATTTTTTTTTTTCATAATTTTCATACATAATTCTTGATACTCTAACCTCGAGACTCCAATTTATAATAATTTAGGGTTATATAATAATTAAAGGTTCGTTGATTATTCTTCTGTTCACGAGTTTAATCAATATTGTTAAATTAGAATCACTGTAAAGTGCTGACTAGTATATTTACAATGACTAAAAATGTACCAAAATTACTTTTTTTTCAATCTTCAATGTTTTAAGTTTTACATCATCTGTTATTTTTCAAAATGCAAGGTTACTATTCTTCAAGACATATATTGTATCAATACCTCCAGTAAACTCTATTCATAGAAACAAGGGATATTATGAGAACAAGAGGTCTATGTCATTAGCATTGACAAATCTAATCGTACATTAGTTTTTTAATTGTTGTCTAATCGTCATCATTGTTGTTTGTTTACGGTGTAGAGGTCGTAAGAATCACCAGGATTAATCAGTGTAAGATCTATCAACCCAGGTCATAACTACTGCTACCCAGATGAACCTCTCACGTTCATCTTTCGGAGTTATTACTATCAGATAGCTACACGTTCGTTTTTCGGAGTTATTACTATCAGATAGCTACACGTTCGTTTTTCGGAGTTATTACTATCAGATAGCTACACATTCGTCTTTCGGAGTTATTACTACCAGATAGCTACACATTCGTCTTTCGGAGTTATTACTACCAGATAGCTACACATTCGTCTTTCGGAGTTATTACTATCAGATAGCTGCACGACACTGCTAAAATTGCGAACGTAGACTAATATAAAATTTTTTTTGGCTTCTAATATTTTTATTTACTTTTCAGGGTCCTTTAGGAATCTTATGAGTGCAAATCCAACGTAGGTTAATATTAATGGTATACCAAACTACGTATATACATAACTATATAAGTATTCTATATATTTTGATATATAACTATATATATCTATATATATATTTACAAGTTTAATATGTATCTTAACTGTTACGTACGTATTAAAAATTATAACTATAAATATAGAATATATTTATCTAAATTAATGAGTACGTACACAAAATATATATTTATTAATTCAAATATTTAAAATATATATTTGAAAATATTTAAAATAAGTTAAACTCATAAATATTTACTATTTAACTTTATTCTAGATTGTGAGTATATGGTAAAGAACATTTATTGTCCTAAATATTTAAAAAAAGTTATATATTTAAGTTCGTAAATATTTATTTAGTACGTGAGTATAAATTTATTATTATTTATTTAGTACGTGAGTATAAATTTATCATTATTTATTTAGTACGTGAGTATAAATTTATCATTATTTATTTAGTACGTGAGTATAAATTTATTATTATTAATCTATACAACATTCCATGGTTCAAAATTAAACCTATTTCATGATTATTTACTATATCAAGATATATTTATAATTTTATTTTTTTTTAGATAAATTCATGAATATTTTGTTATTTTATATTCACCGATAATTTAGTGCCCAAGTATAAAGGGTTTTGGTAGAATTCTCCGACATCCATTTCGTCGACAGCCACTTTGCTGACAATCTTTAGCCAACACTAACTATAATGCAGGCCAACCCTAACTAAATCAGGCCAAAATTTGTCGCCAAAATGGCTGTCGGCGAAATGGTTGTTGGCAAATTTGTTTTATACTGTACAGTATTAAGATCATTTATTAATCCAAGTATTTAAAATAATCTATTCGAGTTCATAAATATATATTTACTATATATATTTACTTATTTTATTTATTCGCTTTAATTTATTTAAATATAGTATTTAAATCACGTTACTTTATTAACATTTAGCATGTGAGTATAAAGATCATTTATTAATCAATCAAAAATATTTAAAATAATCTATATATTTGAATTTATTCATATTAATTGGTTTGTTAATATAAAATCTATATACAATATTTACTCCGAATATTTGGTGAAAATAACTAATATAAAAATCCAATTCAATTATAACGAGGATAGCATGAATAATTATAACGAGGATAGCATGAATAATTATAACGAGGATAACATGGTATAATTAAAGTAAAAATAGTTGAAATAGAGTGATTGATGATATCGAATTAAATTAAGTGACGAAGGATGATTTTATTTTATATTTTCTGCAACCTGGTTGATCTGACCTAAATTATAAATTTAGAAATTTTTCCAAAAAAAGGTACAAAATTTATTTTAAATTTTGAGATTTTTTTATAACGTAAATTCTCGAAATAACGGGCATCTACGCGTTACTTTGAAATAACAGATTGATCTTTCTAATTGAAATTAATAAGCAAAATTCTAATTAAAATTAATAAAAGTCATTATTCGTGAAATTCATGCTCATTTTGATGCGCAAATGTTTTTGTGTATAAATCAATAGCTGACTGACATAATTAAAAATAGCCTACATGCGATAACCGTGAAAGTTCTTCATGGTTATCATGCTCAAATATTTTTATATGAAAGTTAAACAACACATGAGCAGAATTATTATTATAAAGTACGTACATACGTGTTTATTTCGATTAGAGAGTAATCCAGAGTGGTGTGGAACATACTCTGCCGGAGTAAACTTCAAAAATCACACCACGTTGGAGGTACATCGGAGGTTACTAATTACACTATATACTCTGGATTGGATTTTATACGTAGCATATTGTAAAATATTTTACTAAATTACAATATATATTTCAATATCTAGAACAACTCTATTTAATGCTATATATAGTGTTAATTAATTAAATTTTATTTTAGTAATATACAATTGGAAAAATAAATTCATCATATTTTTAATCGAGTAGTATTAGGAGTAACTCTAGAGTATAAACCACTATAGTTGTTAGGCAAAACCTAGGAGTTTCGCGTTAGCGAAAGTCGAAACCCTAGCTTTGACTTTCGCAAAAAAATTTTTTTAAAAAAGGCGAAATAGTGAAATATGGCGAAACGTGGTGAAACTAGAAATTGGCGAAAAACAATGAAGTAAATGAAAGCTAAAAGCAAAACATATCAAGCCAAAATAATAAATGCTAAAATGTATATATATATATATATATATTATTTAATTTAATAAACATAATTATTTCTTGTTATTCTGAAGATTTTTATTTATACTAAATTTTTTAAATTTGATATAATAAGAAACAATATTTACTTACATAACTAAACATACTAAAAAAATTATTCTTAGGTGACCGAGATTTAATATTTGCTTGGCATTATATAATCAATGATTAGAATGATAAAAAAATTATTTATCGTTATAATAAAATACGTCAAGTCATAACTTGTTTTTTTTTAGCGGAATGTAGACTTGTGCTTTGTAAGGGGAGAATCGATTCTAAAATCAATCGAATATTAAATACTGTATATCTTTTGAGTTGAAAAAAAATAATAAACCAATTAAAACCCATTATCAATCCATTACTTGTGAAGATCCACTATTTATCGAGTTTGTCTATTATTATTAACAAATATAAAAAATATATAATCTCT